TCTAACGATGACTTAAAATATGCAAGAAAGTATATAGATTGCTTACGAACACTGTGTCATTTGAACTGAACTCTTGATTCTTGGGGAATCCCTGGAGGTCTGGGAAGCAACCCCCCAGGATGCTGAGGAATGACTGGACATGGCTGTACACATTTGTCAAGACTCACTGAGCTGTGCACTGCACATTTGTGCATTTTTAAAACTTTTTATTTCATGTGTACGAGTGCATTGCTTGCATGTGTGTAAGTGCACCCGTGTTGTGCAATGCCTGCGGAGGTCAGAAGAGGGCATCAGATCCCCTGGAACTGGAGTTATGGATGGTTGTTGGCTGCCATGTGGGTGCTGGGAATTGAACCTGGGTCCTCTATAAGAGCAGTCGGTGGTCTTAACTGCTGAGTCATCTCTCTGGCCCCACATTTATGCATTTTATTTCCATTTGATCACTTCCTTTTTGATTTCTAGAAGTTCTTTAAGAAAGAAATGAGCCCTTTTATTTTTTGGTCTTTTTGAGACAGGGTCTCCCTGTTATGTAGACCAGGCTGGCCTTGAACTCACAGAGATCCGCCTGCCTCTGCCTCCCAAGTGCTGGGACTACAGGTGCGCACCACCACGCCCAGCAAAATGAGCCCTTTTAAAAGATGGCTTTTTCCATATGAGGGTAATATAAAGATTTTTGTTTTCTTCTAAATATATTTCAGCATGCCCATTTATAATGAACTCCTTAATCCATTTGGAATTCATCTGTGAATTGCTTGCGATATGGGTTCAAATTCATTTTATTCCAGAGTACAACATATTTCACTAACATAATTTCTAATGTTCAGCATCTTATATTTCTAGAATAAACTCTTCTTGGATGTGATGTAGTATTATTTGAATACACTTAAAATATGTTATTTCATTGTATGTATGCATATTTGTATATGTATACTTGCACATGAATGTGTCTGCATGTATGTATGTACATATGAAAACATACACTTTATGACTTTCTAGTATTTCACTTATGAGTTTTGCACCTGGTTTATGAATGCGACCAGTCTATCTATACTTTTTCTCTCTTTCACTGTCTACTTTGAGTTTTTGGCACCATAAACTCATTTTTAAAAAGCTACAGATCTTTTTTTTTTCTTCTTCAGTTCTCTGAAACAGTTTTAAAACTATCAGAATCTGGTTTGGGGGGTATATTTGAGTACCTATCAAACTTTCAATTGTATGAACTTCACAGTTCTTGAGAAAATTGTGTTAAGTTTTTTTTCTAGAAAACAGCTTTTTTTAGTGCCAGTTCTCTATCCTTAAACTTAAAATTCTAACGAGCCAAACCCTCCACCGAGCGTCTTCTTTGCTAATGCTGTTTACTATTAGCTTTTCTTTTTACTGTTTTTGTTTTTTTTCTCTCATTAATTTTCAAACAATCAGGGTCAAAGTTGGGGTGAAGAGGAAGGTGCACATGGATGAAGGAACGGGGGAGCGCAGGGAAAGAGCTGATCCACGGACCAGAACCCTGGCCTAGCACTACTCATTTTCGCTGGCCAGCAAAAGTGCAATAATATCTCATTTTTCTCAACTCTAAGTGTTATATAAATATCATATTTAGTCATGGAACGTTGTGAGGACCAAATGAATTAAAACACCCCCCACCAAAAACACTAACATTTAAAGCAGCCTGGGGGCAGGGACTGCTTGGTCAAAATCATTAGTTGCTGTTGTTATCATGACCTCAATGAAGTAACAGACCCAGGCTTGAAGAACTCTGAGCCCTGCTATCACAACTTAACCACGCTTGGTGTCTGGTCTTCCCCTCCCTCCGCCATCTCCCACACTGAACACATTCTGGCTCTACCTGTAACTGTTGAATCACCTTGGATTGAGGAGGGCTGGAACACAACTGTGTCACAGACTTTCTGAAAGTTGCGTTCAAACCTCATGGAATCAGAGTTACCAGAAAAGGCAGGACTGGGCTGCAAGATGTCATAATTGGAGGCTTCCCTTAACGCTTGCTCAATGATTGATTGGCTCATTTGGCAAGAATTTAAATCCCTGCAATGTGTAAATCCAGAAAGAAAAAGAGTGTTAAATTCATTGTCACCACTAATTAACAAAATTTTTGCCAAGAAGAGGCACAGTGTCACTTGTTTTACAATGTTTAAATTAATGTGTAGATAGGGATTATCTGCAGCAAAGTCTAGTCATCTATACATTGATAAACTGGATCTTCTAGATCTGTGCTGCCCTGTATGGTCTCTAGCCGCATGTGGCTATCCAAACGTAAATGATTAAAGTCGAAGAAGAATTATTGAGTCAATTCCTCTGTCATACTGGGCATGTTTCCGGGGCTTGTTAGCCACAATAGCTGTAAGATGTGACCTAAAGCCCTTCTGGAACGTTTCCATCACCCTAGGAAGTTGCATTGGACAGCTGTGTTCTACAGGGAGTGTCTGCAGCGGTGAACACGGTGGTAATTCTGAGAACCCGCCTGAGCTTCCTGTACATGGGTTGGCCAGTGGTTCTATGGCTCTGATATGCATGATCAAAACTAGCCTGTTCTTTCAACAGATGCTTCACGATGTCACTTGTCCTGGTGGTTTTCCTGGAGAGTCCCCAATTCAGGAACTCTGAGCTCGCGAAGCTCAAGTTGCTGTGATTTACTTTTATTTTGTAGGTTAATTTTTTCAAACTTTTTTTTTGGTCTTTTTGAGACAGGGTCTCCCTGTAGCCCCAGCTGTTCTGGAACTCACTATGTAGACCAGGCTGGCCTTGAGCTCACAGAGATCTGCCTGCCTCTACATCCCGAGTGCTGGGATTAAAGGTGTGCACCACCACACCCGGCTTATTTAGTTATTTTTATTGTATGTATATGAATGTTTTGCCTGCATGTATGTAGGTGCAGCATGTGTGTGCAATGCCCATGGAGGTCAGAAGAGAGTGTCGGATTCCCTGGATCTGGAGTTACAGATAGTTGTTAGTCATCACGTGGGTGCTGAGAATTGAACCTGGGTCCTTGGCAAGAGCAGTCAGTGCTTTTAACTGCAGAGCCATCGCTCTAGCCCCTTGTAGGTCAGTCTCAAAGGCTGTTCTTTAGCCTTGTTCCGGTCAGTGGTCATTTTCATCTCTTTTTCTGCCACTTCTATATTGACATGAGTCCTCGCCTATTTCCTGGTCACTGTCAGCCCTGAAACATTAGTCCTCTTTGGCCACTGTCCTGGAAGGCATCATTGGGCATTTTCATCACTCCTGCTCTGAGAGTGGATCTTTATGAAGAGTATTGTCCCTTCTCAAGGAGATTTGCCAACCAGGCCTGCTAAAAATAGATAACTTATCATGTTTCCTGTTGTGTAGGAATCAGAGGATCAGATCTATAAAGGCTGAATGTGTCACAGAGGGAAAACTGTTCTTTTGACGTGTTCGACCAAGTCACATGACATGGTAAGGGCCACATGAATCAGAATGAGGAAGAGACAACTGGGTTGGGGGGTGGTCCGCCCACATTTGCTAGTGCCACGTTAGCACAGGGGCGATAGCAAGGAGAGGCTGAGGCCACTATTGTGTTGCTACAACTCTTGTCGACCCCAGGTCCACTGGAGAGTCCATTCTGATGAACAAAGGGTTCTGGGTCTTCTTAATCTAAAGGTATACGTCTCTTCTCCCTTCTAGGGCTATGATGAGGTGCCTTGCCTATCTCCTGACTTCTTCCCTGTCTATTCAAAGCCCGTCCCCAATGAGATGGTATGGTCTTAAAATCAAATCTGTCACCAAAGTCCTCCCTGCCCCCATCCCTGTCCCTCCTGCCTCATCTCTGGGGCTCTTTAGGAAAGGAATGCACAGAACCTCTTTGTAAATACCCCATTTCAACTGATGATAAAGCTGAGTAGGACCAGAGCAGGCCTGTAGGAAGAGGATCAAAGGAAAGACCAGAAACCATTCTCTATGACTGCCAGCCTGTGTATAAAAGATACAGACTCAGAATCACTTTTCCTAGATTCCCAGTGCATTTGTTCATTCTTCCAAGTCCCTCTGAAATGGAACCAGTGTCCCAGTCTGCCATCCCAGGGAAAAGGATCACCACCCTGATGTTAGGCTGCGCTCTGTGTGTACAGCGACTCTGTGGAGTATGGCATCAGAAAAGGCAATCCCCACCCTGTCACTGCCATGTGTAAGCCTCTCTCCTTGCTTAGGATAAAGACCAGAGACTCAGCCTGTTCGATTGGGATCTACTTGCCCTGTCCCTGCTGCACTGAAACCTCACCCAACCCTATTCCCTCAGTATGTAGTCATGCCATGGAAGCTACTTTCCTCCCATTCAATTCTTATAAGAAGCTCAACTTGTTCCTGCTGTGGGCCCTTTGCACACATGATCCCTGGGGCTTCAATTCCTCTTTTCCCAGTTCCCTCTCACTTAGTTAACTGGTACTCAGCCCTTATGTGTCAGTTTAGTCCTGATTGTCTCTCTACATATGTTGTCAGTCATTACACCTTTCTCCCCCAGAATTAGGGTACACTGGGCTTTTGACCTTATAGGGTGACTGTTTCATTGCCTCTTGCCCGGGGGACGTAGAGGCTCCAGAGACAAATCAGCCCTTTGCTTTCTGTTGTGCTCCCGGCTCCTCACAGTAAACCTGTCAACTGAGGCCTGAGTAGGCCTTTGTTGGCTAAATCAACGAACAGCGACTTTTGGAATCTTCCGGCAAAGGAATGTGGTATCCAAAGGAAATGCACAGATCCTAGGGTGCTGGGTTCAAATCTCAACTCTGTCATTTGTGAGTCAGAGGCAGGTGAAGCACCTCTCCAAGCTCAGTAAAATGGCTATAACCATATGCATATGAGGTTGTGAAGATGGGATGTAATGTAGAGCTTCTAGTGTGGTTCTCTTTGAACCACAGAAATCATCATCACTATCATTCAAGTCAGAGGTGGGGAGAGTGGGGGGTGAGGAAAGCGGGGGTGGTCCTCTGCTGAGGTCACAGGACTCCTTAGCAAGAAGTGACAGGCACCCAAAAGGAAACAGATAGTAACATTTTTTATTAAATATTACAGTGGATCAAAAAGTACAAAATATCTCTGGCCTGCTATGTGATTGGGCAACTATTGGCACGTAATACAGTATCAAAAGCAGTAATAAGTACAATTTGGAAAACATACAAAATTGAGTGTTTATAGTTGGCTCAGCATTCTTCTGGTAGTGTTTAAACTAACGCAAAGGTTACTCAATAACCTCGCCATTTGGAAACTATGTAACATCACTGGGCCAGGTTTCTATATACAAATAATCACCTTACAGAGCATAGAGGTTACATAGCTGGAGTCACCAAAAGTATACAATATTTACAACACAGGAAAGTTTAAAAAAGTATAAACAGCCAAGAGATTATGTTGCTATTCTTCAGACATATTTCAACCATGGGGAGACACGCAGAATATCAAATACATCAACAGCCAACACTGGAGTCGAGTGGCTCAAGGCCATCGCTCCAGTGCTGTGGGTCTCACCAGGGCGAAGTTCTTCCCATTGCTCTCAACTTGGGACAAGAGTCAAACTAAACCAGATGGGACTTGGCTGACCACCACCAACTGTGACTTAGTGGGACAAGAAGTAAAGAGAAATAAATGGTTCTCTTTGAAGGCACACTACATAAAATATATTTGTGGGACCACTTCGAAATTTCCATCAGACACACCAACACAGTGAGATACAGTACTTGAGAATTCATGCACCAGGTCAGAAAGCTGTAAAGTCAACACTGAGTTTTAACAAACCTTCTGTATATGCCCTGATAAAAAAGTGAAATTAGGAACTTCTAGCTAGGAAGTAAATAGGTCAGTCAGTCCTGTGGCAAATATTACAGGTTCCAATCACTTACCAGGAGACTACTTTAAGTCTAAAACTTGGTTGGGCTGTCATGTTATTTTAATTTAAATTTGATCTTATTTTTAAGTGGACTCGCCAAAGGTTAGACCAGAAGTTACAAGGAAAGGTTTATTTATTTTTAAAAAATTATTTAGACTCTCCAAATCTCCAATAAATCCTGGACCTAGTGGGTTTTGAATTGCAACATTTCTTGGAAACCACACTTGGTAAATAGATTTATGACTCCAGTGCCAATTAGATTCCACAGTTTCCTTTACAGAACTACCAATAACAATGGTCTGATTGCACAAAGAAACACTTGTGCAATGCCATTCAATAATAAGGCCCCTTGAACTCAAACAATGCAAACAAAGCCCAATTTAAGACTTTTAAAAAATGTCCTTCTCAGCCAATGAAGAATTCAGTGGTCACTTTGAAAGATTTCCAAGATGATCTCCGCGTGGAGTTTTTAGACAAATAGCATACCGCTTCTGTTGGGAACATCTACTTTCAATGCCTCTGTATTTGCCCTGGGGTTTTGCTGAGCGTGTACGAGCTTCCTCCAACAGAAACAGCAAATCTCTCAGAAGAGATGAGAAAAACAATAACTGGACTCTGTTAACATTGTCTGAAAATGGTGTGATCGAATTCCAACACGACAAAAGCCTCTAAAGTCACTGCAGTGGGGACAGCAACCACCCCATCTCACATCCAATAGGTGAGCTCCCGAGGGGATGCACGGCTCCCATGTTTTCCTTTGAGAAACAAACTCACAGAGACCACAAATGGATTCAGCCCAGGCCCTCTACAGAACCATTAGGCTCCTTTTCTCCAAGTCTTCAGATTCTGTGACCACTCAATCTAGTGCAACTTTCTCATATTGGATCCCAGCCAGCATCACGCTAGCTGGAATTGAGATCCCCCCCGCCCTTACTCTTGTGCAACAGCCGGGTAATCTGCACGCACACATTTATGATCTAAATTCTACTAGTCTATCTATGGTTTATTAAATATATAATATATCATTCCACAGGAAGGTAAATAATTCATTGAAGCAAATGGAACTCTTAACACTGGATCTCTACATTCTTTTGTTTCCACCTTTGGATCAAAAGTATGTTACATGGACTATTTGGCTTTGTATCATGACGACATTTCAATATAAACGAACGGCATGCATGGCTTTGCATGAGAGCCTCAGTTTCATGGTCACTGGCTTTGATTATTTTTGCAGTTGAATTACCTAGTTAGAGATGTTGAAAAGTGTCATCAAGTTTTATAGATTTAAATATATCAGAGGTAAAAAGACTTTGTTAACTATGGTCCTAGAGTCTACCGGTAGTGTTGGGGGAGAAAGGGGCAGTGGGCTGGGGACTTTTTAGAAGCAGCCTTCAGCAAAGTTGGGTGGAGATGGGAAAGAAAATCTGCTCTCTAGATCAACTTGGTACATGCAGCAGGTGTGTCCACCTTGATGTTGCATTTCTGGAGCAGATGGAATAAAGTGTCAAGAGTGACAGTCGGTGTTCTCAACATCTTGTGGTCACCCCACAGCCTGACCATCCATTCCAACCATAAAAGAAACCCAAAAGCAGATAGTATCGCCACGTGGTGAAAAACTCGATCCGTCACCTTATGTGTGGGTGTGCTCATAAAATTCACGCCCCAGAAAACCAAAGAGGATGACTTTCTTTTGAAACAGGTAATCCAATGACTCCCCAAGATGTAAGCTGGGAGAATCTTGTTAAAAAACTCAAGAAACCAACTGACAAAGACAGTAACTGCCTACCACTCAACAGGCCAAGGTCTGGCTACAATGTCTGGTGGTCAGGCCTTTGGTAGCTCCTTTCCCCAGTCCTTCTTCTCAGACTATGTAAAAGGTGTAGTGCCAACATCAGTGTAGGTCACCTGGGGTCCTGCTCTAATTTCTGAAATTCCTAAAACATCTGCACAGCCACAAGTATGTCCTCTAGACTTATTTAGCAGCTTGCTGCCAGCGAGGGTTTTGTTTTATGATTTCTCTGGTAGGTAGGACGGTTTCACAGCCTAGATAAAGTGAGTACAATGCTCAATATTTTCACATAATGCAATACTTCAGAGCAAAGCATTTGGCAGGGGAAGCGATGCCTTAAGCTCCTTCAGCTCTGCCACTTGGTGAGGAACAAAGTCTGTGAAGGAACGTCCTTTGCACTGGGTTGTGTTCTTGGGGTCTTCTGTCTGTTCCACTAGCAGATGCCTCAATTTGTAAACAATATAACTTGACCACCCAAAGCTGCTCAAAATAAGATGTGGAAAAAAAAAATTGACAAAACAAACATCAACTAGGACAGTCAGTCAGCCTTGAAACAAAACAGAGCAAAACCAAAAAACCAAAACCAAAACCAAGGCCAAGGACCTGCAAACAGGAGGGTACCGTTTAATTAGGAAAACACAACAGGGGACAGGAGAAACCAGGCGAACACAACTACCTGTACATAAATTAGGTGAGCGAACAGTGATACGGGTAGCTTTTAAGAACAAATATATACAATTCAACAGTGTTTGCTTCTCTGATTGTTTAATAGTGTCAAAATGCAAGATCTCTTGAAGTTTCACTATACATTGCATTGATTGAACTTGGAGAGTTTTATGACAAAGAGGGGCGTCCCTTGGCTGTGTTTGCCAGTCTTTCTTGCCCTTTCCTTTGAAAAGCCTGCCTCTGTTTTGCCCAGATTGCTTCCTGACCATCTGAACTCAGATGGGGTCTTCTAGTTCTTCCCAGATAGACATAGGTCCCTTCACAAGACTGACACCCAAAGGGAATGACCAGCAGCTAAGCTCTAGGCCATCCACGCTGGGAGGGAAGTCAATGCTGGCCAACCAGGCTAGAGTTGTCCCCCCAGAACTAGGCATGTTCACCTTGCCTTTCGGCCTCTATGGCTAGGATGAACTGTACCCCCAGATTAGAAGGAATACAGGCTTCTAACTCTGCAAGTCAGCCCTCCACGTTTGGCGCTTGGACCTCGCCATGGGGGACGCTGGGCAGAGCAGGGATTACAGTTTTGTGCTGGGGTGTACAGAGGACAGCTGGGAAGATGGGAAGGCAGCCTGAGGATTGATAGCAGCTAAAGGGTAAATGCTATTGTGCAAAAGGTCCCCGTAGGAGCTCCCTACAGGGGTGGCTGCGGCCAAGTGTCTATACAGCTGCTGAGAACTTGTCTGCGATGTAAAAATTCCTCTTTGCATCACAAGCGAGTGGAAAGCCAGGGGCTGCATCAGAGGAGAAAGCACCGTCTGGTTTTTCAAGTACTGCAGAGAGTGGGAGTACCCAGCTGGGAGCCTGGAGTTGAGGCCCGAGTTACACAGGCTCCCAGAATACAAACCTGGGAAGATAGGGGAGGAGAGGGGGAGCTTGTGGCCTTCCGACGTGCTCCCAGAATGCCCGCTGTAAGCTGCCTTGCCACTGTGGCCCTCCTGCTCACAGGTCTTGTCCTTCCCCGAGGCCTCCTTGGCTGGGTCCAGGGGAGACACGGCCCGGGCCTTTTTCCCAGCAATCACAAGATCCAAATCCTCCAGGCTGCGCTTTATGGGACGTGCAGCTCCAATGTTCTGGGGGCTCATCTTCCGGTGCAGGATGGGATGGACCATACCTTCCATCTTTCTGAAGTTCTCCAGTCTCACGTGGTGAGGCTTTCCTGACCTGGCAAGTGACTCGGGGTATTTTTTAGGGGCCGACATGGTCATGGGTGACACCCGGCAGGCTTTGGGATGGCAGTCTCGACTCTGGCTGCTGATGACCTGGAACTGGGAGGTGCCTTTGCTCTCCTGAGGCCCTGAGGCCGAGTGGGCCAGGCCCAGGACCTTGCTGGTTGGTTTGTGGGGATTCTTGGGAAGGCTCAGGTCTGTTGGCTGCTCATCTGTAGGGGCTTCTGCTGAGGCCAAATTCTTGTCTTGCAGATGCAGAGATGCGAGATAATTGACGTGGATCTTTTCTGGGTGTTTGTGGGAAGGAAAAGCGCTGTTTTCCGATTCCCGGTACATGTCCCTGGAGGAGTACTTGGGTGTCTGCTCGTTATGAAGATGGTGTTCTGTGTGTCGGTAGAGGCTGTGGAGATGCGGGGATGAATAGAAGTCGGACAGGAAGGAGGGCACGTGGGCGTGGGGGACTGCCCTTTTTTCTAACAGTTTATCCCTGCCCTCCTGTGTCTCTTGCTTCAGGATGTAAGAGTCTGCCAGGGAGCTGAGGTGGTGCTTGGAAAAGCTGCATCGGTGCCCATCAGACCGACTTAGTTTGTCGTGTTTGAAGATGTCATTGATGCTCTTTCTTTCCTCCGAGGGCTTGCTCTTGAGGCTCTGGACGTGCTGGATTACGGATGGACGGTTGACCGCCATGTGGTCAGCGCTTTGGCTGTGATGGGCCTGGGACAAACCCGAGCACAGGTCGTCCCTGGCAATCAGTTTCTTTTTGCTGATCAGAGGGGGCGGGGAGCCATAAGGGTAGCTGCTAGAGAGGCTGGCCCCACTCACTTGGGACAAAAGCTTTTTCTTGGCTAGTGGGGACATGATACCAGGATGGCCCCGGGAGTAGAGCAGGGGTGTGTAATTAAGTCCTTGGCTCTCGTTCATGGGCCCGGTCAAGTCTTTGTCTTTGAACATGTCAAAGGACTGTACCACGAGAACCTTTGGGGTCTGCTTGAGGGCAGTGTGGATGTCCTCACTGCCCAGCTGGTCTACTTTCACAGTGCAGTTGGCAATGTAGTCAGCCATGGCAGGAAGCTTGTCGTCCTCCGGCTCGTTCTGGCTTGTCAGTGGCGGCTGGGTAGCAGGGTAGCTAGGGAAGGATGCCTCTTGAAGTTCATTTTCAGGGCTCTCTGTGAAACAGCAGGGTTTGGCTTCCTGTTTTGTGTCCACCAGGGCAGTGGGGGAGGCGAGAGGCTGTTTGCCAGCCCCAGGGGTGGGAGCTGGAGCTCTTTCCGGGGCCAGGGGTGGGCTTGGAAGCAGAGGGGCTGGGCCCCCCTCTGCCGCCTCCTCCACCCCCTTCTCACCGTTGGAACCCTGTTCGGTTTCGGGGTCCCTCTCTGGATCTGCTCTGGACTCCGGGGGCTTCACGGCAAGGCCCTTGAACGCCTCTGATTTTTCTTTCACTTCTGCAGCTGGGAGAGGTTCTGGGACGCTTTTCTGGTTTAAAGTCTCCTGTTCCTTCTCTTGCTCTGATGGAACCTGATAAAATATTGCAAGAGACAGTCAGGAAAACCAAGCGCACTGACACACTTTGCTCGGAAATAAAACATCACACATAGCAAGCAGTTATTCTTGAAAACAGGCTTGTCAATCAGCTCACCGAGTTTCTGTAAGGTTTTATTACTCCCCAATCACAGCTCTAAACAAAGAAACCTAAATTACAGAAACATTCAGGAAATATGCATATTCGATTCTGCCCCTCGGGAGACACCTATCAAAACAGCTGAGTGTTGCCTTCGGATGGTATACAACCACATCACTCCTTGATTCTAATATATAGTTTAATTCTAAGGTTGTCTTCTTGTCAAATCAGTCAATTATCCAAATGGGTTTTAAATTACACGTTGTGCTTTATGACACTTCTCAGAAAGATTTTTTTTAAAGCATCTCTCTTTCAAAAATCGAGCCAACCCCATGTCAATAACAAACACCAAACTTATTCCTGGCCTTTCCTTTTAAACTGTCTCTCCCTAATAGTTAAGTGGGAGCCGCTGGAAACTAGCTATACGTAACTATTAAGCATTTCTTATACTTGTGATGTGCAGATCATGTTAAAATACCAAAAATATAAGCAGATGGACCTGGGGAGCAGTCTTTCTACGACATACCAAACTGTATGACTATCAAAACTCAAAACGGAACTGTCACAATTCTGGTGTGCAGTGTCTCCACCGATACAGATTTTTATAGTTATTAAAATAAATTATAGTCACTGGTGGATGCTTCTTCTACGTCCCTAATCCAGCTACTGCAGAATTGGTCCACATAAGCTTTGACATTAAAGGTGAATTTGGCTTTTCATCTGTGACCCAGTTGATAGACAAGCCTTTTCACAATCACCATCATTCTGCCTTGATACACCTTGTTGGGACAACCACTGATTCGGTCCTCACTACCTTGGTCCAATCGCATCAGTAGGACATTGTTCCCTTATGAATAAAAAAATGTCAACCACGTTAGATCTTCGAGGAAGACTGAAAGGGCTGGTCCGGAATACACAGGAGCGGAACTCTTAAGAGATCATACCTACTTTGTAGCTATGCCCCCAATCCTCCTGAAGGCATCCCTGCTTCCCAGGAGTGTGCTATACCCAACAGTCTGCCCTCATTTCCCGCCCGCCTTCACTAATTTCTTTTCTTGTATAAATATCGTTGCTTGTTCTACATTAATAGCCTTCATTGGTCTCTTGAGCTTACACATAAAATGGAAACACATAAAAGCTACCGATTGCAAAAGGCAAATCAGAGTTCCTTCTCTGGACCGGAGTGTGGGGCTTTGGGCCTCACCTAAGTTCCTGCGACTTTTGTCTTTAGCTACCTTAGAATCTCATTTCTGTCTACAAACCAGGTTTACAGGGGCTTTGAAAACAAGTTAGAAAAAGTTAAAGGTTTTTCTTTTCTAACTTGTCAGTGGCCAGTGATTCCTTCTCACTATATAACTTGCAAACCAATCCATGGAACCAGTGGATTTGACTAGAAGAGGCTCATCACCCCTACCCCCCGAAACTGAGTTTAGCGCTTCATATTGAAAACATGAAAAATAAAAATATGACATTATATGTAAACCACAAATCTGGACCACAGTTAATGAAAAGAGATACACCTAATGTGTAACATGGGTCTGTGTTGGAGTTGGGGAGTAATTCTTACTAGATGGACCATCTCCAAGAGGCTGGGGTGACAGCCTTACATGACAGACTCTGAAGCTCCCAACACCTAGAGCTCACTTCTGCAAAGGGAACCATCGAGCCTTGTGGAAAACGGGGGCTCACAGCTTCCATAAGTTCACTGGACTCTGGGTAGTGAGGATGCTCACTCTTGGGAATAGTCATGGGCTCCATGCTTAGGGTAGGGGACTCTTCCCACAACTCACAAAGTTTCAGAATTTCACTCCCCAGATGGATCTATTCAAAGGTTAGGTGGCCCTGTGGTCCTCCACATATCCACTGGGGCTTTGGCTGCATTGTATATCTGGTATCTGGTAGAACTTGTCAATCCAAAGCCCTGTGATAAATCACTAGGCCAACAGGATCAAGGGGGTGGAACGCAAGCCTGAACTTGGAATTGCCTTGCTTTTGGCCATTATGTTGCAAACTTGCAGATGTTAGAAGTCTGCAACAATGCCCCCTTCCTTTTTAAGTTACTAGAGCTTAAGATAATTATGGAACTTCATAAAGCCAGACCTGGTGGTATGGATGGAGGCAGGAAGATTGTGAGCTCAAATCCTGCCTGGGCTATAGAATGAGGCCAAGGCCAGCTTCAATCATTTATGGAGACCCTGTCTCAGAAAATAAAGGGAACAACAGAACTGGAGAAATGGCTCAGTGGTTAAGAGTACTGGCTGCTTCTGGAACCTGGGCTTGGTTCCCAGGACCCACACGGTAGCTAAAAATCATCTGTAACTATGGTTCCAGGGGATGTGATGCCTTCTTTTGGCCTCTGTGGGCATCAAGAACATACATACATCCAGGCAAAACACACATAAAAAATAAAGGTAATTCTTTAAAACTGTGAACAAAAGGGCTAAGGATGTAGCTAATTGGTAGAACATTTACATAGTGTGTGTAAAACCTGAGATTCAGTTGGTAAAGCAAGGTATTAAGAATGTTTTCTTAAAGTGGAATCAGTTGAGAGGTTGTGTGTGTGTGTGTGTGTGTGTGTGTGTGTGTGTGTGTGACTGTGTTTTAAAATGGTGTTTAGTTAGATTGTCTCATATGTGTTCATTATAAACCTCATTTTCAGACAGTATTTGGTATCAGTACCCAAATTCCTTTAGAGGCTGAATCCTAGAACATGCTCTCTCTGCACGTGACTGCTGATTTCCTCTTCTTCTGCTTTTTTTTTTTTTTTTTAATGGGCAACAGGGTTTTCATTATTCTTGTTGAAACTTAGCCCAGATTGGCCTCCTTGGCTGACTGGACACTGACAATCATATTCTCTGCTGAAGAGCTGTTGGGGGCTGAGGTTTGTTTCAAAAGCCTCAGAAACTACCTGTTAATATGGGAGGCAATATTAGTTTCTGAGGAAATACTTCAAAATTCCCTTAAGTATGTACTTAAGATCTTGCTTAAACTGGTCTCAACCCAGGGCTGCTGCAAGGTCATGAACAAGAAGGAAACAGCTCTAAAATTTGGGGGAGAGTCCTAAGGAGATGTAGCTTAGAGGTCTCCCTGGAGACCCCTCCCCACAAAGTCACACTGGCTTCTTAAATAATCTGGCTGTGAGACGGCCACGAATCTGTGTTTACTCAGTGGGAGCCCTTACTCTCAGGGAGCTTTAGCTTGGGCTCCTTCTAGCTCAGTTCTGCGCTTGGTTGCCAGTTTCCCTCAGGGTGTGCTCCTCTTTCTAGAATCTACTCACAGCCCATCCCACTCCATTCCACAAACTGCATCTTAGGTTCTGAGGGAAGGGAAGAGTTTGCTTAAAGATTTATTTTTATTTATATTTATTAGTGTGTGTGTGTGTGTGTGTGTGTGTGTGTGTGTGTGTGCATCTGGTTGTCCTTAGAGACTGGAAGAGGGTGCTGGATTCCCTGGAACTGGAGTTGTATGTGGTTGTGTACTGCCCAACCTGAGTGTTGAGAACTGAACTCAGGTCCTCAGGAAGAAGAGCAACTGCTCTTAACTGAGCATCTCTCCAGCCCATAAAGGAAAGGTTTCTTTTTTTAAAATTGTTAACTATTTATTTATTTATTATTTATTTATTTATTTATATGTTGTGCATGTGTATACACCACATTGCACATGTGGAGGTCAGAGGAAAACTTGCAGGACGGAATCAGTTCTTTCACCATGTGGATCTTGGGGATTGAACTGAGGTCATCAGCTTTGGTGTCGAGTGCCTTTGCCCCCAGAGCCATCTTCCTGGCTAATGGTTAATGGTTTTGAAGAATTTAAGAGGGAAATCATGGCTTAGAGTTTTTGACTTCTGAGTCTAGCCATGAGCTATACAGGGACACAGCTGGGAATTCTGGGTTCTGGAAGACCTAGAGGCAGGATGTGTATCCCGGAGCTGGTCTCCCTGGGATCCATAGCGACTCACCTCAGATACATCCTGGGGCTTCGGGGCGTTCTCTTTTTCTTTCTTGCTCTTGGGCATTTCATGTTTGATGCGTTTGGTTCCAGATACTTTTATTTTATTCTCATTTTCCTGTGAACTGTTCTCCTGTTTCCTAGGTTTGACTGGAGGCAAAGGCTTATCCTCTTCTCCCTTAATAAACCTTTCATATGGTAGGATTAATCTAAAAAGAAAGCGGAGGAGATGGTAAATCAGTTGGTCAATTCTAGTAACATAATGCTGTGGGTTTTTTTTTTCTGTAACCCCATCCAAAGAGGTGCATTCCAAGACTCCCCAGAGACACTGACAGAGGACAGTACCAAACTCTCTATACACACTATATTTTTCCTATACATATATAGCTGATAAATTTTAATTTATGAATTAAGTATAGTAAGAAATTAATACCCATAACTAATAAATAAAACAATTATAATAACACACTGTAATAAAAGTTATGTAAATGCAACACTTTCCAACAAGTCAGGCTGCATACTGTTTTCCAACTCTGGTTGACTTTGGATAACTGAGAGCAGTGAAGCGAAGTCATCTTAAGATAGTCATTGAGTGAACTCTCCACCATGACGTGAACGCATCCTAGAGACTTATTCTATGTTTACTGACCTACTTCGTTAGCAAAACTCCCTTATCTGGTTACCCAAGTACCTTTCTGCAAGACAGACTTCCTTCTGGTTTTGTAGGTCTGTTGCTCCGGATACCCACAGGGACACACAAGGTTGACATCAGCAGCAGCACACTTGGCTGAGTGGAAAGAAGCCAGAACCATAGCGACAGCCACTGTCATTCACCAGCCCATCAGCTGTGTATTGAGCCTCCACTCTGTGCTCCAGGCACTGGGAGACAGCCGTGAGCAAAATACTCGGAACATCTGACCACATTCACCTTATGTCTAAGGGGCAGGCCAGGCACATTATGTAAATCATTCCATCTAATCTTCACTACATCTCCTTGGGGTATTATTGTTACTATTATTATTATTATTGTTTTTTCTTTGATGAGTGAAACAGTTGAGAGTGCACAGGTTAAAGAGGATCCTGAGGGTCTCAGCATCCATTAGGCATGGGACTGGCTGCTCTTCCAGAGGACCTGGGTTTGATTCCCAGCACCCACACGGTGGCTAACAACCATCTGTAACTCTGGTTCCAGGGACACCCTCTTCTGGCCTCTGCAGGCTTTGCATGACATAGGTGCACTCACATACATGTGAGCAAAACAGTCATACACATAAAATAAAAATAAATTTTAAAAAATGCAGACCTGACATGATACACTTGAAAAAAAAGTCTTATGAAACCCAACTCTGTATACAAAAGAATATTTGCTTTGACCCCCCCTCCTCCCCTCCACACGATGAAGACACAGCACTTAATGAAGGTCAAGCAGAGGCGAGCTAGGTTTTGGCTGTGGCGGTGGCCCTGCCCCCCTGCTGATGCTAGCAGGAGGAGGTGTGTTTTGGGGGTGCCAAGTTAAAGAGGGCCTCGGCTGGGAGGAAGCAGACCAACCGCCAAAGCAACAAAAATCAGGGGGCTGAAGAACGCAAGCATTTTAATTATATAACTTTTTAAACAAAGTGCATAAAATTGCTCTAAAAAGGGAAACATCAAACAGCTCTGGTTTTAATCTGTTCTCCCTTTGCTACGCAGCTCTTGATCTGAACCAGGAAAAGGAGCTGATGTAATTAAAAGGCATGGATTGCGTTACAATCTGAGTTTCAACTTTGGTGATTAAAGTTTTTATAGTGCATTTGGTATGATTAATGACTCGCTGTGGGATTAATACAAGACTCTGCCTTAAAAACATGAACTTTAATACAGCAAACATAATTTTCTTTAAATGAGACAAGTTGACTCAGTGAAGAAGAGGTACTTGGTCTAGAAGCAGCAACAACAAAAATCTGTTCGAATACTGGGAATCCTTTATGTTTAAACTAAGACACCTGAGCAAAAGCTTCCTGATTTGGAGTATTTGTTCAGTATCCTAAAATTGGTTTCTGATTATACAATTTGTCACTCAGATTCTTAAGCACGCCACAATTCAGGTCTCAGAGTAAAGATGTGGGGACATTTGTGACCTCCACATTCCATTCTGTAATAACACGGCAAGTAAATTGTGGGAAAGTCAAATTCCAATTTATAGTTTATTAGGGCTCAAATCCACTTACTGAGCATGCTCAGAAAAGGTATGTGCAAGAAGATTCTGGCAGCAAGCCAGCCATGAAGATCAACACAGCCCATGGGGGATAGTTATCTTCAGATCCCATTACAAACTGAGTTTAAACATGTTACAGCTGCTAAAACGGGAAACTACTCTCTCTGTGTAGTCTTACTAAAATAATATATGGTTTCCAAATACCTGCTTCCCACTGTAATATTACAGCGAATGTTTATATAATAAAAAGCATAACTAAGCAGGAGATAGAAAAAAAGCAATCTTGTTCATACTTAAATTGATTCTGTCTCATCTGTAAAGTCCCTGACTTTCCCCCCAGCTCCTTCTGTGCTGTACTGAAGGGGCTTGATCCCTTTCAGTATCAGCAGGTGAGGGATTTTCACCCAGGAGCAAAAATGCATGGAATATTTTAAACTGGAAAAAATATTTTAAATTAATTTAATGAAAACATATTTTCTTATTGGGACAGATAGGTTTGTTGTACTTTTGTTTTGTTGCCATGGGAACCCACAGAGCTCAGAAGCCTGGGTATTCCAACATTTGCCATTTGTGGTACCCTCCCCCAGCTCTCTGCCCAATGGAGATGGTGGCATCATGAGGGACCCTCTATCGTGTGGTCACTGAGGGTAGGGAAGAAAATGAAAGAAACCAGAGAATGGGATGGGGGAGACACCCAGTGTCCATGTTCTGACAGTCTTGTGCTAACTCAGTCTCTAGATGGTACCAATGAACAGTGTGACTTCATCTTTAAATTCTGCAAGCTTACGAGGCAGGGCGATATTTTCATCCCAATTCTTAATTCTCTCTCTCTCTCTCTCTCTCTCTCTCTCTCTCTCTCTCTGTCTTTTCTCTCTTTGATTCAACTCATCAGCTGGCAGGCATACAGCAGGAAGAAAAATATATTTCACTGTGCTGGTCAAAGGCCTGCAGCCAAAAGCAGGAAGTCAGGAATTAAATGTTTCTTGTATCTGGAAAGAGGCATGACTAAGGTAAAACGGAATCCAAACACAAGCTCTGCTTGTTCAATGATTCCAGTGTGTGTGTGTGTGAGAGAGAGAGAGAGAGAGAGAGAGAGAGAGAGAGAGAGAGAAAGGTCAACAGAATGATTTTTTTCCATTTCTAAATCATTTTGAGATAATTATAGTAGCTCAGAGAGAAAAAAGCTCCGAAAATAAAACAAGAAAGGCAGCCGTTAAACAGAAAGAAGTAGCAATTCGAGCAGCTACACTCTGAGGAACAGGGCACGTTCTCACACAGCATACAAACAATCCGTTTCATACAGTGACTTCCGTTTGATGCAATTTTCGCCCAGTGTTTGTTCAGTTATCCTCTCACGGTACAATACAATTACCCCACAGGATATGATCTTATCATCTGATTATTAGAACTTTTCAGAGTACAAGAAGACGAAATCTATGATAGGTTTCTGAACATTTCAACGTTCAAAGTACATGTGGTATCATTAAAAACAGGTTGAGCCAAATGAAGTCAGCATTGCCCAATACAGGAAGCTGCGTAGGTTTGTATCCTATAAAAGCATTTAGTATAATGCAACATGCCTGTGCCTTGCAGAGGATTAGTCCTCAAATATTTGTAGTACAATGAAGATTTAATCAGTTTTGAAACTGTACAGATACAAAGCAAAAATGTACCCCCTCCCACCAAGAATCCATTACACAGAAGAAATATTTGGAGAGGACTGAAACTCAAAGAATGCAGCCTGGGTTTGGGGTGGGTGGAAGAAAAGCAAAATCTAGGAAATCCATTCAGATCTCCCCCTCCTGATCTGCATCTAGGAGAGTACCTGGGAGCAGGGGAGATAAATCGGTCTTTATTCTTATCCACATTTCATATTTCATATTAGCGAAATTCTTATTTATGATGCCATTAATGGATCTGAAATAGGTAAGCCATCATGTATTAAAAAATAACATCTTTTCATAGGCATAAGATTTGTAGCAGTACGGGAGCATGAGATTTTATTTTTCCCTAGGAATAATGCAAGAATAACATTTTCCGCCCTAAGCAGAAACAGTAGGGGAGCCCTTTGCTATCACAGAGCCTCTTATTAAATTCAGTCACTGTGAAAAGGAAGATTTTTTTTCCCCTCCTCATTCTTCTTCTCCCTTTTTTTCTAAAAAAAAAAATAATAATCTAAGGAAGACTTAAAAATCAACCCAAGTTAAAATTAACAAATCAATGCCATTATAACCTTGATTTATTAGTGTCGGAGCCAGTAAATTATCATCATACAAGAAATTGCTGGTTGGAAAAGATCTTGGCTTTGCTAAATCTCAAGTTGAATAATGGTGTTCGGTATACTAGGTTTTTAGATGTGCCTCATCTGATATTATAAAAAATTCAATACATTTCTCTACAGCAGAAGTCAGGGGTCAGCAAATCTATTACTGTAATGTAAGTAATCTGGCAGCCTGCCAACTCTTTCTCCCTTTTATTATTTTTTTTAAACACTGAGGCAGATAACTTTATATTTACCAAGTCTGCAATCCTCCAGGGTCTTGCCTCTCTTTCTCGACAAAAAGCAGCAGCTGACATTAGGGAAACGTATATCACTCGCCATCTGCATCTCATACGAAAGAAGAAAAGACCCTCATCTTCATGAGGAAACCCTTCCCTCCTCCCATCTCAGAGGAAAAATAAAGTCAAGTTTCATCTGTACAGAGTGACCACTGATGCCTCCTGAACCAATTCATACTTGTGTGGAAGGACTGAAGTTTGGGGCCAAAACATTTAGCAAACAGTGCTTAAGAGGAGAAATGAGAATTTATCTATTTATAGAGCTCTGAAAATGATACTATAATAATGTCTGGAACTGATTCAATTCCAGAGTCAGGGAAAGGAGTGGGGAATCATTACGGTTTTGTTTGAATCTCGAACCCTAGTTCAGCTAGTTCATGGTATTAAACCAGAAAAAGAAATCCAAGTCTGAATACTTGCTGTGATTTTTGGAGCAGAATAATTTAGGGGAAGAGG